ATTTTCAGACGCGCGAATATTTTTTACACGTGATATGAATACTTAATTGAATATCAAAAAAGAGAACATTAATATTTCGTTTCGCTAACGAATTATATTATATTTGCGCGTACAAGTTGGATCTCGCCAGGCAGCAGTTTGAAATGATTTTTGCCGCATCGATCGGCGTCGCGCGCTCTGGCCCGTGGTAGTAGACGTTGAGTGAGCATCGAATTCGGCGCGAGCTCATGCATAGACTGGGACGAGATCGGAGCGATAGAATCTTCGCGAATCCGCGTGTTCGAAATTTGCGACGACTTGTTGCTATTCACACACACACTCACACACGCATTTACGTTGCCTCCGAATGTTACACACGCGGATGTTTTTGCATTCACGCGTTAGGCCCTTGTTCGAAATTTGTAAAAGAGAAAATGTTTCGCTAACGAATTATGTCGTTCTGAAACAGATATTTACTCGAGACTAATAACTTGGAAAAAGTGACATACACACTTACATGAATTTTACTGGATATATTCCCGAGTTTAACAGTCGATGTTGATGATATTATTCGCGATTATGAGAACTTGTCGCTAAAACAATGCAAAATAACACGTACTCGATTGCAACCGAATCGTCTATATAAGTTGGATCTCGCAGGCAGCAGTTTGAAAGGATTATTGCTGCATCGGCGTCGCGCGCTTTGGTCCGTAGTAGCAGACGTTGAGTGAGCATCGAATTCGGCGCGAGCAGCGAGAGGGGTGAGAGAGCGATACACGACGTTGTATATTCGTTTCAAAAGCGTCGTGCAGTATTCGCCTGCGTAACGTTTAGTCGAAGTTGAACTGACTCTCGCCCTCGTGAAGGTACGACCAATCACATCGAAGCAGTTACTCGACGCTTCCAATCATTTTAGCGGACGTATCGGAGTCGCTCGAACGTTTGCAACGGATTCATTTCAGTGCCAAAAGTATCATCAGAGACTCTACACTGACGATCATTCTTGAACAAGCCATCAGTTTAACGCTTTCGAAACACGCTGGAGTTTACTTTGTGGCAAGTAAATCTACTAAAACCAGTGACAGTGAAGGCGGTTGATTCTGCACGGTCTAACTGAAGGTGAGTGCAAAATAAATTTATAGATTATCAGTTTTCACTTAAAAAATCCTTTTTGCTAGTCTACAGAGTGAGACGGATAGTCTTACCCACCTGTACTTACTAAGTCCTCGTTCTCGTTTGTTGAGTCGATTTTACATGATTACGCTTATTTACAATAAACATTTGTTTAAATATTTGTATAAATATATTATGTAAATTTGTTCGTTGTTCTTCAAAAAGCGTATTTGACCGATGAATATTCTCTCGAAGTTTGTTTTGCAAAGGTTGGCGTCAACCATATGAATATAGTTTATCCTCATGCTTCAGCGGTATCGTCGCTTCCTAATGCACACACCGTAATGAATCGCAAGACGACATACTCGCGCAAACTAGTTTAGCAGCTCGTTACTGAGTTTTTATAGCTTCTTTTTCAAGTTGTATAAATGTTATGTAATGGTACGCGTTTTCAAAATAGTAATCATATTAATACATTATAAAATATGAATAGAACAAGACACACGCACGCGTACGTGCACTGAGAGACTTTCAGTACATGTACGTACTCGGGACTCATCGGGTCGTTGGCCACTTCGATGTCGGAGGACGCTGTACGAGTGTACGCCTCACGCCTGTTATATCCATTTTCGTATTCGCTCTAGTCATCGGTGCGTACTGTACTCTCCGATCAGTTAGAACGAGAACAGCACACACCAAAAGTCTCTCAGTTTACACGCACACCTTCGCTCACGCGCATACGTAAAATATTTACGATATAAATCACATATACATAATATCAACCATATACATTATTTATTTTACTTTTTAATAATTGTCGTTGTCGTGTTTTTGTTTTCAGAATATACCAATCTAATAGAATGGATCATTTGCCGGGAAGATTTACCGACAAATATCATTATGAAGGGTACCTGTATTTAAAAGACCGAAGGTCCAGCACTATATTTAGATGCGATAAAAGAGGCACGGAAAAATGTGACGCATGTCTGCATGTACAGCGAGACAATTCCAAGGATGCAATCATTGTAGCTGGTGAGCATAAATGCACCAAAGACGAGTTCATTATGCTTCGCCATGAATTGATGGGAGAACTGCAAGAGTTGACCGTCAACAGCTACATTGACTTGAAGAAATTGTATGATGACATCATACTGAAAAAAAGTGGGTTTACTCAAAATTAAAATTTTTTTTCATTGGCCTTCAAATATTGTATATTTATTTGTAATGTTTATTGTTACAGGTACTTACCCCTTCAAGATGATATGACCCTTAAAAAAAACGCACTAAAAACTATGAGAAAAATCCGTCAAGAAATCATTTTTCATTAAATATTTTTGTTATTTGAAACTTTAACTATTATTTTGTATGTAAAAAAATTTGTATGTAAAACTTCTCTTAAATTTTTATAAATAAAATATAAATTATGAACGAAGCAAATATTATTTTGCATGTAAAATTTGACTTGAATTTTTATTTAAATAAAATATAAATTATGAACGCATTTGTCTGTGCATTAAGTAATAATTGTGCAGCAAGCACTGTTCTCTCCCTTTCTTTCTCTCGGCAATTTTGCGCGTTGCATAGGAGGTACAGCTTTCGGACACGAGTTGGGCACATACATGTATCGGCTTTTGTTTCGCTCGTAGAGAATCAACGAACTCATCATCAGCATGCGTATATGGATGCATGAAACTACGTTGATCGACCCTATAATTCTTTTGCTGGTGTGCTATCTCTTTCTCTTTCTCTCGCTTGCGCTCATCTCATGAGGTGCATTGAAATGTATCGCCTCGCAGACGTGTGCGGTCATTAGAAATCATTTCGAATGAGTTTAGATGTGCGAGTTTGTAAAAATACTTTTCAATAATCCAACCAACCTCAAATTTTGTCAGATTTTTTGAATGAAGGCGATAGCTTAAAGACCCGATGGTTAAAAAAAAAATTAGAAAATATTTTTTTGGATTCCTTGTCAAATTTTAATAAATGTTGACTGTTTTGAGTTTCCGATTGAAGCCTCCTAGCTCAATCTACAGCATCAAAATAGTTTTATCATTCCTTAAAGTCTTCAGAAACGTATTCAGAATTTCGCATTAATCTTTCATGCTTTGCAATAAAAAATATCAGTGATATTATTTTTATTTTTTTGCTCATTTATCTTACGGGTCGTTGATTTTGTTGTGATGTATACCTTCGAATCAAATTTGATGAGTGCCCGAATAGACAGATAGAACTTGCTTCTGAATACTTCAAAATACTGATGAGTTAATAATCTAAAATAAACCCGATTTCAGATACAACTTCATGGTTATTATAAATCTGTAATTAAATTGCCTGTAGTTTCAAGCAATCGTGTACGCGGGTAAACNGTCTATATAAGTTGGATCTCGCAGGCAGCAGTTTGAAAGGATTATTGCTGCAACGGCGTCGCGCGCTCTGGTCCGTAGTAGCAGACGTTGAGTGAGCATCGAATTCGGCGCGAGCTGTGGCAGCGAGAGGGGGTGAGAGAGAGATACGCGACGTTTCGAATTCGGCGCGAGCTCATGCATAGACTGGGACGAGATCGGAGCGATAGAATCTTCGCGAATCCGCGTGTTCGAAATTTGCGACGACTTGTTGCTATTCACACACACACTCACACACGCATGTACGTTGCCTCCGAATGTTACACACGCGGATGTTTTTGCATTCACGCGTTAGGCCCTTGTTCGAAATTTGTGAAAGAGAAAATGTTTCGCTAACGAATTATGTCGTTCTGAAACCGATATTTACTCGAGACTAATAACTTGGAAAAAGTTACATATACACTTACGTGAATTTAACTGGATATATTCCCGAGTTTAACAGCCGATGTTGATGATATTATTAACGATTATAGGAAACTTGTCGCTAAACCAATGCAAAATAACACGAACTCGATTGTAACCGAATCGTCTATATAAGTTGGATCTCGCAGGCAGCAGTTTGAAAGGATTATTGCTGCATCGGCGTCGCGCGCTCTGGTCCGTAGTAGCAGACGTTGAGTGAGCATCGAATTCGGCGCGAGCTGTGGCAGCGAGAGGGGGTGAGAGAGAGATACGCGACGTTTCGAGTTCGGCGCGAGCTCATGCATAGACTGGGACAAGATCGGAGCGATAGAATCTTCGCGAATCCGCGTGTTCGAAATTTGCGACGACTTGTTGCTATTCACACACACACTCACACATGCATTTACGTTGCCTCCGAATGTTACACACGCGGATGTTTTTGCATTCACGCGTTAGGCCCTTGTTCGAAATTTGTAAAAGAGAAAATGTTTCGCTAACGAATTATGTCGTTCTGAAACAGATATTTACTCGAGACTAATAACTTGGATAAAGTTACATATACACTTACGTGAATTTTACTGGATGTATTCCCGAGTTTAACAGTCGATGTTGACGATATTATTCGCGATTATAAGAACTTGTCTCTAAACCAATGCAAAAAACACGAACTCGATTGTAACCGAATCGTCTATATAAGTTGGATCTCGCAGGCAGCAGTTTGAAAAGATTTTTGCCGGATCTATCGGCGTCGCGCGCTCTGGCCCGTAGTAGCAGACGTTGAGTGAGCATCGAATTCGGCGCGAGCAGCGAGAGGGGGTGAGAGAGCGATACACGACGTTGTATATTCGTTTCAAAAGCGTCGTGCAGTATTCGCCTGCGTAACGTATAGTCGGAGTTGAACTGACTCTCGCCCCCGTCAAGGTACGACCAATCACATCGAAGCAGTTACTCGACGCTTCCAATCATTTTAGCGGACGTATCGGAGTCGCTCGAACGTTTGCAACGGATTCATTTCAGTGCCAAAAGTATCATCAGAGACTCTACACTGACGATCATTCTTGAACAAGCCATCAGTTTAACGCTTTCGAAACACGCTGGAGTTTACTTTGTGGCAAGTAAATCTGCTAAAACCTGTGACAGTGAAGGCGGTTGATTCTGCACGGTCTAACTGAAGGTGAGTGCAAAATAAATTTATAGATTATCAGTTTTCACTTAAAAAATCCTTTTTGCTAGTCTACAGAGTGAGACGGATACTCTTACCCACCTGTACTTACTAAGTCCTCGTTCTCGTTTGTTGAGTCGATTTTACATGATTACGCTTATTTACAATAAACATTTGTTTAAATATTTGTATAGATATATTATGTAAATTTGTTCGTTGTTCTTCAAAAAGCGTATTTGACCGATAAATATTCTCTCGAAGTTTGTTTTGCAAAGGTTGGCGTCAACCATATGAATATAGTTTATCCTCATGCTTCAGCGGCATCGTCGCTTCCTAATGCACACACCGTAATGAATCGCAAGACGACATACTCGCGCAAACTAGTTTAGCAGCTCGTTACTGAGTTTTTATAGCTTCTTTTTCAAGTTGTATAAATGTCATGTAATGGTACGCGTTTTCAAAATAGTAATCATATTAATACATTATAAAATATGAATAGAACAAGACACACGCACGCGTGCGTGCACTGAGAGACTTTCGGTATATGTACGTACTCGGGACTCATCGGGTCGTTGGCCACTTCGATGTCGGAGGACCAGACCGAACGCTGTACGAGTGTACGCCTCACGCCTGTTATGTCCATTTTCGTATTCGCTCTTGTCATCGGTGCGTACTGTACTCTCCGATCAGTTAGCACGAGAACAGCACACACCAAAAGTCTCTCAGTTTACACGCACACCTTCGCTCACGCGCATACGTAAAATATTTACGATATAAATCGTATATACATAATATCAACCATATACATTATTTATTTTACTTTTTAATAATTGTCGTTGTCGTGTTTTTGCTTTCAGAATATACCAATCTATTAGAATGGATCTTTTGCCGGGAAGATTTACCGACAAATATCATCATGAAGGGTACCTGTATTTAAAAGACCGAAGGTCCAGCACTATTTTTAGATGCGATAAAAGAGGCACGGAAAAATGTGACGCATGTCTGCATGTACAGCGAGACAATTCCAAGGATGCAATCATTGTAGCTGGTGAGCATAATTGCACCAAAGACGAGTTCATTATGCTTCGCCATGAATTGATGGGAGAACTGCAAGAGTTGACCGTCAACAGCTACATTGACTTGAAGAAATTGTATGATGACATCATACTGAAAAAAAAGTGAGTTTACTCAAAATTAAAATTTTTTTTCATTGGCCTTCAAATATTGTATATTTATTTGTAATGTTTATTGTTACAGGTACTTACCCCTTCAAGGTGATATGACCCTTAAAAACAAGGCACTAAAAACGATGAGAAAAATCCGTCAAGAAATCATTTTTCATTAAATATTTTTGTTATTTGAAACTTCAACTATTATTTTGTATGTAAAAAAATTTGTATGTAAAACTTCTCTTAAATTTTTATAAATAAAATATAAATTATGAACGCATTTGTCTGTGCATTAAGTAATAATTGTGCAGCAAGCACTGTTCTCTCCCTTTCTTTCTCTCGGCAATTTTGCGCGTTGCATAGGAGGTACAGCTTTCGGACACGAGTTGGGCACATACATGTATCGGCTTTTGTTTCGCTCGTAGAGAATCAACGAACTCATCATCAGCATGCGTATATGGATGCATGAAACTACGTTGATCGACCCTATAATTCTTTTGCTGGTGTGCTATCTCTTTCTCTTTCTCTCGCTTGCGCTCATCTCATGAGGTGCATTGAAATGTATCGCCTCGCAGACGTGTGCGGTCATTAGAAATCATTTCGAATGAGTTTAGATGTGCGAGTTTGTAAAAATACTTTTCAATAATCCAACCAACCTCAAATTTTGTCAGATTTTTTGAATGAAGGCGATAGCTTAAAGACCCGATGGTTAAAAAAAAAATTAGAAAATATTTTTTTGGATTCCTTGTCAAATTTTAATAAATGTTGACTGTTTTGAGTTTCCGATTGAAGCCTCCTAGCTCAATCTACAGCATCAAAATAGTTTTATCATTCCTTAAAGTCTTCAGAAACGTATTCAGAATTTCGCATTAATCTTTCATGCTTTGCAATAAAAAATATCAGTGATATTATTTTTATTTTTTTGCTCATTTATCTTACGGGTCGTTGATTTTGTTGTGATGCATACCTTCGAATCAAATTTGATGAGTGCCCGAATAGACAGATAGAACTTGGTTCTGAATACTTCAAAATACTGATGAGTTAATAATCTAAAATAAAGCCGATTTCAGATACAACTTCATGGTTATTATAAATCTGTTATTAAATGGCCTGTAGTTTCAAGCAATCGTGCACAAGAATATCTTGTCAGAACTATTTAGCAATCGATGAACGATTTATTCAATGTCTATTGCTCGGCCAAACTGTGAATCTCTATGTAGCTAAGTTGTGCACGAGTCTATATAATGCACGCACGGATGAAATTTATTTATTTCAATGTATTACAAGTTGGAGTACTATTGTGAAAATTTACATTCCAAAGTAAATTTGTGTAGAATAGTTACGTACATTGTGACTGAAACAAACTATGCGATGAAAATTTGTGTAGAAAGGTTCCGCACAATAAAATTAAAAAATAAATTTGTGCAAATATTCATGTGCGATATGTCATTGGGTACAACGATTTATACAATCGTGCTCGTTTTCAAAAACAAACCAGTACTTGAAATATTTGTGCATAAAAATATTCACTACTGAAATAGTTCCCAATTTTTAAGTGCTAAAACATATAGTATTCAAAACGGTGCAAGAATATTTGTGCCTAATCAAATTGTATGAAATTAATATTCGTCAATGTAAAGTCATGAATTTTCATTTTTTTGTTCAAATTATTTTACACAGTATGAAAAAAATTTCGACAAATTCTCTGTATTTAATTAAAATTGTGCTGAATTCTTGGGTGCATGATTTATACCCTGTCGACTTTATTGGCCATTGTCTCAGTTGGGCTTTACGTTACCTTATCCCTTGCTCACGACGGTTGTTTTTATTTTATTTTTCTCGTCAACTTTTTCATCGAGTTCGAAAAGTCGTTTAGCTCGAGTGTCGACTCGTGTAAGTAATTTTCCGGCTGCGCAGCTTCGAATTAGTATAATCACCGAATGAAAATTTCAGAGCGAAAGAAGCGACAGACGAAATGCCAAAAGTTACGATGATAGCTGCGATCGTTAGCGCCGAAAGTTTGGGGAATATTTTATAATATCGTGCCCTAGTGGGACGCGGGAGGAGTATCGCCATTCGCCACGAGTGAGACGGCACGCGAGGCGTAGGAGGATGCGTCTAATGCGATGAATCAACTAGTTGTCACGAACGAGCTCGCTGAAAAATTCATCATAAATTTATGCTGCACAGCGATGGTGTGCGCTCAAACGCACGAGCAAAGGACTTGACTAGGCGAGCGATGAAATTTTTACTGCAGCTCCGATCGTATAATACGAGAAAAGAAAAACACAAGTTTACGATGTTATATTGTCTGATTATATGCGTCACTCTTAATTGCCGTTAGTTGATACGTCCGTCCCTCGAAGATATACGATTCGAGTCGCAAGAATTGTTTCATCGCACCAGCAACTCCTTTTGTTCATCTCTTTGGTAGATTATCCGTATCTCATGCGATATCTTTGCAACGATTGATAAGGCTGAAAGGTATAGTCCGAATTAAGATTGCGCAGCGTCGAGCGTCATTGTTTCTGAAAATACTTTCCCAGGGAAATGTCATCCGCGCGTCTTTTTCGTAGTTTTCTCATGACCTACATATGGTCGATCCCGAGGGAGGCTCGCGTCATTATCATCACACTAGTCCTGTACCTACTACGCACCGCGTTCCACAATCATCGTATTATAATACTCGAAATGCACCATGCGTCCCGTGAGCAGTAGTTCTTTCTCGTGTGCATTGTGTGCCTGTGTCCCTTGCCGCAGCGCACAGAGAGCTGCACACGTGCTGCTGTGTTTTTCGCTCGCTTTACTACTATGCGGCATTCATTCGCGAATGAATTGAATAGGCTTTTTGCACTTGAGAGCGTAGAAGCGAGGCAAACATGTGCAAGGCCAGGCTCGGAGTCTCGCTGTTGTTGTTGTTATTGTTCCTATTAGCCAAAGGGTGGGCTTTGCTCCAAGCTGCCGCGATACATATATACGAACGATTTTTTCTTCTTCTATCTTTTGCTCCTTTTCAAATGAGATTATTGCTGAACGATTAAACGCCCCCCGCTCGTTCGTACGTGTATGCGGGCAGATAAATGTATGCAGAGAGCAGCGGCGGCGGCACATGGATTATAATTCAATCGCTGCGGTTGATGTAATAGCTCTAATGTCATAGACCTAAGTATAACACGCGCTCGAGTTGTGTCATGCTTATGGACGCAATACGTGCCGCACGCGCTCCACTGATCAGCGCTCCAAGCTTTCGGCTGGAATCAATGAAAAAAGTTTGAAATTTTTTCCCCCTCTCATACAGCCCGAGCGAACGATAATATGCAAAGCAGCGCTGCTCGCTAATTTATTTCTCATCGAAAGTCGCTCGAGGATGCATCATGCGGGAGAAGAGGGAGACGAGGAAGACTACGACGACGACGATGAGAGAAGAGAGAAAAAGTACGGATAAAAAAAGCTCGTCGCGTTATATACATGTTGCAGAGGCGCGTCGACTTTGCAGAAGAAGTCGCGCGGCCAAGAACTGTACACAAGCCGGCGCGGCGCAAGATTTTGGTCACGTAGCGGCTTTTCGCGAACGCGTGCCTCGAATACCCTCGGCTCGAACTGCATGAACATAGGCCGGCGCACGGTAGCAACGCACGGATGAGTATGCGGCGGCGACGACGAGAGAGACAGAAAGACTACATAGGCAGAGCTAGAGCGAGACAAACTTGGCGGCGTCGAGACGATCTTTTGCCGCTTACTCCTTCTCTCTCTCTCTCTCTTTTCTCTCTTTCTTTTCTTTTTGTCCACGGCTGTAGGCTGCGTCCGACGTCGTGAAAGAGTGACCGTGAATGCGCTCCATTTGACAAATGCCGCGCACGAGAGAGCTTTCTGGACGGGCCCACGAGGCAAGCGCGAGCTGTAATTCAAAAGCTGAAATTGCAAAGCTCGCGATCGTCGAACGTGCGTGCAGAAGCTATACTAGTTAAAGCAGCATCGCGGAAACTCGAGGAATACACGGCCCCTTATCGCGCATTCGACGATCGTCCATTTGTCCGAGCTTTTTTTCGAGATATATACAGAAGCAGTAGCTTGTGCGCGAATAAGTACACTAGAGAGAGAAAAGATTCAGTCTGGTGCGCACGTATATGCGACGCGTCGAGTGTTGTCGCGCCGTGTCCGTACTCTAGCGTCCAGCTCAGCGCCGGACAACACACTGCTGCACTGCAACCCCTCTTCGTCCGGCTTCTCTTTATTTATTTTCTTCTTCGTCGTAGCTACCTTTTTTTTCACTCATTGTGTCGGTCGACCGAGCGCATAATCCAAACTCACACTCGCTCGCAGCCTATATAGACGCGGCACACACATACTGTATACTTTTATACTTATAGTTAAAAGCGGCGCGAGCTACACACAGAAGCAGTAATGGCGCGAGTTCATATATAATATACAAAGTTATTTTTCACAACTGCCTGCGCTTACACGAGGAGAGGATCTTTTAAATTCCGCTTTGCCGATCTTCTCTAGCGCGATGAAAAATGGAAGTGAATATATTTTAACAGCTTAAGAATTTCTCGGCGTGCGGAGCTGCGGCTTTGATCGAGCTGCGGCGTCGGTTGCCCTCTCGCTGCGCGCGAGGAAAATGTATACTTACGTTATAGGGTATATACTATGCACGAATTCGTACGAGTGATATTGTAGCGCGCGAATAGGAAATTATTCTAGTAACTAAGCACCCTGTCGGTTTCGTAGGGTGCAACATATGGCCCCGGTGGCGGCAACGTGATCGCGCCACTCGAAAATAATAATAAAAAAGAGAAAGAGACATATAGACGCTACATGCGTGTGCGTTATGGCATACATGTGTATGCGTTTGACAACGCCAGGTCCAACGATACTTTCCGGAGGCAGATGTGGTCACGCGTGCAATAATTTCACGTGTAAACATGAAAACACGTCGCTCGAACGAACCAACGAACGACGATATCGTACGTGTGTAAGTGCGTATGGGTGTACTGTCTGCCGCTGATAGTCAGGTAGCAGCTCTCTCGACACTTTTGCGTTCGTCTAGAAAGCGATTCTGCACACGCGTCGAAATCGAATGCGAATATATTGGCAGATTGCGATAATGGCCCTTGTTGTCGTTTTAGGCAAACGTGCCTGCTCGACTGCGGCGCCTAACGTATAATATGATTTT